CCCCCCCCGCCCCCCCCCGCCCCCCCCCCCCCCCCCCCCCCCCCCCCCCCACCGATGCGAATAGGCTTAGCTATGGGGGACACTCCGGTCGACTTCGACTTCTACTAGTTAGCTTCATGCCTATTAAGTCGCGAGGTGTGTGTCAATGGAGATTTTGAACCAATATGCGCTGTCTTACTGCCTCTGCTCTTGCACACGTGACTTGTATCTTTACCGGCTGTCTAATATATTATCCCTTCCCCGTGACATTCTTAGCGGTTTATGATGTAGGTAGGTACATAAGGTATGTACTTGGGTACTGTAGGTAGCTTGTAGCTACATATGCCCATAAATGGGAGAGGGAGAACTACATAGACGTGGCATGCAGCCTCGCCACGTGGCATACAAATGCTGACAATTTCCCCCTAGTTATGCAAGTCACTCGTCTCACACACATTTTACATGACACGCATATAGGCACACATAGTAAAAGATCGCAATCATGATGACGACGACGACGACGACGGCGATGATGATGATGATGATGATGATGATGATATTTCGACTTTTGAAGTCTTAAATAAAACTCCGCAACTTTTCGCTATATGTGAAGGCCTCCTTTTCCATGTTGGAACAAGAAGGCCGTGAAGGACAGCAGGATGAGACTACGCCATCCGCATCCACGCCATTACATGCGTTTCGATGAATCTATTTAACGCCTGTCTATGCCTCCCAGCCTGCTTTTATCGAACCAGGTAACTGTAACTAGCCGCTTCTTAAGTGCATGCTACCTTACGGATGCACATGCCCGCGTACGAATCCCATAGGTGCACCACGTGAAAATGCAAAGAATGAAACCCGCTCGTTCCCATACAACCACCATGCTAAGTAGTTGTTCCCCCCTTAGTAATTATCCGCATGTAATCCTGTAAACATTCCATAGGGCTCTCCTCGACTCGAGGAATAACCTTCGAGAAACCCGCAATCGCGGCAAATAATGATGCGCGAATCCTTATGTACAAGTGAGTATTAAAAGAAAATAGTATATAGGTTAGAAATATCCCTAGAGCTCGATTAATCGATAAGTGATGCAAAACCTCGGGGTTTAGATGTGGGTGAGATGGTGCCGGGAGGCGATATTCGTACAGGCTGCTGCTGAGGGGTGCCAGGAATTATCTCGATGGATTTCTGGGTTTCTACCGGTAGTCCATTAGGCTTACTACGAGGTCGCAATGAGAATTCATCGCGCATAACAGATCGGGGGGAGAGGACAGCTGGTTCGGGTTCGGGTTCGGATTCAAAGTTACGCTTCGCGGGCAGCTTGGAAGAAATTGCCGTTGAGGCCTTGGTAGCCTTGAATGTAGTACTGATAGTAGCCTTGGGAGCCTTCGGTTCTGCCTTCTTGGTCTGTCTGGGTTTTCGCTTGGTTGTCTTCTTGGTATCTTTGGATATCGAGCTAGTAGTCGTAGATGCACTCGTGCCGGGAAATGCGAGCTTGCTTTGCTTCGGTACCGGTTTGGCTACAGGCAAGGCAGCCCGTACCTTGGGGCTAGCAGATGGTGTTGGTATGCCCTGAATATTCTCGATAGACTGCGGTTTCGCCTCAACAGGTGAAGTATCACGTGATTCTCCCTTGACAGATACGCCAGCTTCAGGCGTAGTAGTCTTTCTAATCTCTACCTCGAGCTTGACGCCACGAACATCCTGGTTATATTTCTTCTCGTCGACTACCACAGCTTCATCGATGCTCTCATCGTAGCGAGGTAGGTGGACTAATGAGGCAACATCGTCACATTTGCCTTGCACGACCAAATCCCAGCAGTTCTTCAAATCGGCGCCCGTAGGTTCGGGATCTAGATTGATCCAGGCAGTAACACCGTCCTTTCGCTCTCGCGCCACGCGGCACATGTCTTTGACCATATTGCGCACGCCGGGAATCTTCATACTAGTGCCGACAACGATGACGGCATCAGGTCGAGCTCGAATATCGGCTCGGACGACATTGGCAATAGACTCTTCATCCGGATTGTATTCATTATAGAGGACCATCCGTGGTCGTAACCTCCCAATTCCATGACTACGCTTTCCGGCGTGCGAGGTACGTACATTGTCTGTCTCCTCGCATCCTTTGCAGAGCGGCGCTTCCGGACCTTCAAAGAGCGAGCCGTCGAATTCACTTATCTCACTGCATTTAGAACACACCATCTTGGCTAACCCGCCATGAAGTTGAATCGTCTTCGGCCATGGACCCTTGGTATTCAACGGAACAGTGGTTGCGAGAGGTGGCATGGACGTATCGAGACCATCGACGTTTTGTGTATAGAGACGTAATAAGCGACCCTCCTTAGCGAGTGACGCGATTAAATGGTGAAATGGAGTAGGTTCCGCATTCTTCGTAAGGTGCGATAGATCCCGGACCATTGTGTGAAAAGATGAGGTGGTAGAGTCGTGCTTGTAAACAGACGCGTCAAATAGGTGCTTGCCGGATCCCTTGAGGCCATGTTCCTTGGGCAGCGTAGCGAATAGACCTTTTGACGACCGGAAGTCGGGAACTACAGGAGTAGACACATTAGCAAGGGAATTGAAACATAATGAACACTAAACACCCAAGGGAAAAGGGAGAAAAAGAATACGTACTTCCTGCAGATACGGAGATTCCAGCGCCGGCAATTACTACAATCTTCTTTTTCTTGCGCAAGGCCTTCGTTAACTGCTCCAGCAATTTCTCATCTTTCTCATTCTGCTCAGAGGCTGCCTTCAGATCGAGATATTCAGTAGTTCGAGGCTTGCGCTCTACGCGGCGTCGCTTTGCAGGTGGTGGGCCATCAGGGTTTACATGAATCTCGTTCTCGATGGGGACTCGGTCGGAGGGCTTCATTGGCGATGCGCTTCCAGAATTGACGGTTGAAGGCGGGGAGGGCAAGCGACTTGAATCGTACAAGATAGATGTTCGCGGTGATATAGTTGGCGACCTAGAAAGAACAGAGAGAGGAGAGGACGGTGGATTGGAAGAAGGAGGATCAGAGAGGTCTGATATTGACGATATCGAAGAAGTATCCATGTCCATGGTTATGGTTCCAGTGGGGTTCACTCAATTAGATTGTTTGAAGGGATAATGGAAAAGAAAGGTGAAAGATGAAATAACGAAGGCTATGAGAAGTCGTGGTTCGCCAGGCAAGCAGTACAAAGTCCAAACGTAAGGAGAGGACGGTATGGTCGCGACTTTGTTAACTTTGTTATGGATTATAGATGAATATGAAAGACGAAGAACCAAGGACCAAGGACCAAGAACCAAGGCGGTAACGGGAAAGAGTCGAACTGCTATGTCATAGCGCTATACCAAATCTAATAAACAACGTGATACAACCCTATAATCCTAGCCCCGAATCCAGAAAAACCTTACGCCGCGAGACCGGCGAAAGCGAATCTATAATGATCATGCAAGTTTTATGTTGTGGCTGTGAGCAATTCGTGTACGCGGTCTGTCCCGTTTCGCTGAAGAAACGGCGGAGATGATTTTTAGGTGAGGTAAGATGAGAGATGAGGTAAAGGTGGGAAAAAACTCTTGGGGTTTTCTGGAGGTCGGAGGAGGAAGGGGTTACAAGAGACAGGGCAACAGCTACACAGCTAACAACAAGCTGCGCGCGGTCGCTCTTCCTCCCTAAACTGCCTTTCGCTTAATTGACCACGAATGGGACATTTTAAGGTTTAACTTGCATAGCACTAACTTTTATTTTCTTCAATGTTCGCATCAATGATGTGTCTTCTATATCTTCAATCTCTGCATGCATTTCCCATTGTTGATATGTCGGTACGTACCTACATATAACATCTCCTATATTCCCTCCTAAATCAATACTATATTATAAATTATAAATTATAAATTATAACCACCTATACGGAGAATCAGCCAATGGTCCCCTATACAACCTCTTACTAGACACACTCACTTGCTCTCTACGAGTTAGGTTTTCTTCCTCTATTAACCCCTCTTTATTTTCGACTCCTAAAGGCAACTACCGAGTCGTCCCAAAAATCGGAATGATAATGTTTTTCAGATGTGGTATGTCATGTAGGACAAAATAAGTCGTGACATTAACAGACAATCTTATTAGCTTGCCTTGCTGCATGTTAAGTCGCCAGTGACCGACATGACCGACATTAGGTGCTTTACAGGTCGACATACCTAGTTCCACTGGACTGATGATCATGGATACTCACAGTGGTATGCACTATGTAAGAAAAGTCGATTCTCGTTGCTCCGCGGTTGCCAGGGATAAAGTGGCTCTGGATCTGAGGCTGATCAGCCACATGGCCAGGATCCTCGGGTACCAGCAAAGCTAATAATACCTTTCAAGCCTCATCCAAACGGGGAGAATGGAACGCTAAGTTCGTTAGATACGTAATGCCTGCATGAAACTCATACACATTCTAGTCCCTCTTGGGTTAGTTAGTGCGCATTATTGTACATACACTACATACACTATGTGACACAGGATACAGTACCAAGTACATGTATTTTAAAAAACACATCAATAAGCTGCCTATCAGATCGTACCTAGGTACATACCTAGACAATCACTACCGCTTAAGCACAGACCTACAACTCTCAAGACTTCCGGTCAATAACATGTACTTTAACGTATAATTCAGCATACAACATACAACATACAATTCAACATGCTGTACGAAATAGCTCGCCGAAAGAAATAATAAACCGTAACTGAATCGTCGCTTTCTCTTTACATTATTTATACTAAAGGAACGAACCCAATGGTCAAGGTTAAAAACATCTTTCTTAATCTATCAACTCTGCTTTGGCTAACTAACTAATCCATTTGATCTCAAGACCTTGGATATCCCTGGCCGCTAAACTATGACCAATTACTAAGACGTACCCCTAATTCATAAAGAATATCGCCAAGATCCGCTGAGGGCTCTGCCGAGTCTCCAAACTCGTCTTCTAAATGACGTCTGGCAAGATGCCTCTCATCCTAGACAATTCTATGGGTGGGGAGGCTATGCAGGTCGACTTAGACGACGTTGACGACCTCTTCGGCGATGGTGCTCCTCTAACTCTTCCGCCCCGCTCCATAAGCAAACGTCTACGACAGAGGCTAGACGAGCTTCGTGAACGAGGCTCTTACCAGTAATGTTTCCCATTATTTCTACTATACTATTCAAAACAGCTACTAATTACTCGAAAGGGGTATTGCTTGGTCCAAAGCCGGCACTATAGCATCCATTACGCCTGATGGTCAACAGCTACAGTTAATGTATATTCGTGCCAAAGGCAAGGATGCCACATTTGCCTTGAGCGATCCTACTACCATCGCACCATGGGAAACCCTTCCAGGAGGGCCCCTTGTCCATCTTAGTTGGAGTCCTGCCAGCCCAGAACTCGCTATTATTGACGCAGTAGGCAGAGTCCTTATTATTAGTTTCTCGGCGAATCTGAATCGCCCATCTCCTTCTAGAAGATGGGATGGAGATTCCATAGATGATTTACAAGCTGTTGTAGGAACATATTGGCTACCTAGTCATCACACTGCAAACCCAAGAGTGCGCTTCAAAGTCTTCACACTTGTCATTTGCGCGGCTGACATTCTACTAGTCACCTCCATACACGCCATCTTACGGGCCGGCTGTTAGGAACGGAAATGGAAATAACTATAGTTATCAAATAACCCCCATCTTCAACAACGGCCCTCTTCACCCCCAGAACAACAGATCCGCTTTTATATGTATCACCACGACTGGAGTCCTTAAAATGTTCTGGGGACAGAATAATGGTAAAATCGAAGAGACGACTGTAGAACTTGAGAATGCCACATTGGCAGACGATTTAATCACCCATGCTGCAGTATGTTCGGATAGGAGTGAGTTGGAAGAGCGTAACTATCTAGCCTGATAGCCATTCACTAACAAGATAGCAGGAAGCCTCATGGTAGGGTTGGCAACTACGTCGAAACAGCTTTGTGTTGTCCAAGTAGCCATCAATTGGAATAATCCTAAAACCGAGGGCGCGCAAAGCAATCCTTCTAATAATCAACCGCTAAATCCAACGCTCACGAAGAGGCACGTAGCAGTTACTAGCTGGTTCCAGCCAAGCTCTGGCGATTTGCATTCCGATGCATCCATGCAAAAAATCACTCACATTGAAATGTTGCCTCCTATCCTTCTAACTGCATTTAACATACCAAACAAGGAGTGGTCGCCTATTATGATCTTGACGGTAAGATCTCTTATCCCAGACCCAAACTTACCCTACGCCCAAGAAGTCCAGAGCATAATTGATCGATGGGAACTCTTGTCGGATCACCACCAAACGCTTCATTCCGCATTTGAGCAACTAGGCCTCAGAAAAAACAGTGCCGGTTCTACAACACCAGTATGTATGAAATAACCCGATTTAAGTTTATCTTATTAACCTATCTTCTAGAATGGCAGCAGGCTCAAGAAACTCGATTCTGTCGTTGTCAACAAGGTCATAATAGGGGTAAACCTCATCAACTTTGGGAAGATTCTCTGCTTCTCCTATAATGACGGCAGCGTAGAGTATCGAGATCGATTCACTATGGCCGAGCTGTATCGAGAACCTAATCTAGATCGTATAAATTCGGTTTTTGATGCTGGTTTTTCCCAAAGCGGCGAACCATCATGTATGTATCATTTGCACAAGCAGTCTTGATATGCCAACTAATTCATTCTAGGCCTTCAGACAGCTTTTTCGCCAACGAATTTCTCATTTGTTCAGCTATGCGAAGACGGCAAAGTGAAATGGCATAGCATCAACTATACACTAGCAGACCTTGAGTCTATGGCCGACAGTACGTATCTATCATACACTCGACTGATCCACGTCTCACATCTATCCAGCTCAGGTGTCCGCACTTGTCGCGGCCTTTTACATATCCACCGCTCAGGCCGTCACCCAGAGTGCAAATTTTGACGACATCCTAGCAGTCGCTAGGAATTTCGCTAATAAAGACTGTAAGGCCTTGTAGTCTGTATTCGAAATATGTATCTTTATTAACGCTACCTTAGCATTTGCAATCGAATGGGTAAAAACCCAAGTACAGCAGATGAAGATAGCTATCGACTATACGGAGGACGCATTACATGATAGTCTCATAAAAAATGGAATCTTGCAAGTTTGCCTCAGCATTATCAATTACCTTGGATGGAGAGGCGATCTTCAGCCCCGGCAAGGCTGGGGAAAGCTTTCTATGCTGGCTCTGAACTTGCGCAACATAACCGTCATGATGCATCTCTCAAACAGCCAAATCCCCATACATAATAAAACCACTATAACGCCGCTTGACGAACCTGGTAGGTTTTATCTTCTCTCACATGTTATATTCTCTCTGTACTAAATACCTCAATACAGAAGCTGTCAGTGCCTTAGCCGGATGCGTCAAGTGGTCAAACGACCTGCTTGGCTGGATATGCGACTCTCTATTCTGTCTTTTTGATGATGCCGAGTTCATGAAGCACCTAAAGGGGCCTCAACTGGATAAAATGACGATGTACTTACATGCGAAGAACGAAATCGCGTTGCATTTAGTCTTATGTTCAACAACGCGTGCCCTACTTTCCGCCCTATGCCGTCGTATTCTATCGCTCGACTCGTTATCGACAAAAGCTATTAGCTGGTACGAAACCCGCGAGAAGTCTATCGCGAATAACCCGAATGCTGCAACCGATCCTCGCACAGCTGCTCATACCGCTCTGCATGCCGCGTACCAGAACTTGCGACAATGCATTTCATCTTCTCTTATTAAAGCTGACGAATTCGACAAACTTCTCACCGGCCTGGGAGCTGAAATACGAACGGCTTACAGCACCTCACTGGCAATAGTTGGCGAGCAAGCTGCTAAAGCAGCAAACAAGACTCAGCCACCACAAAATTCGAACCCTAACGCGCCCAGACCAGACCCAGCCCAAGAAGCCATTGCCCGCGCACGTCAGCACTGCGAGCTTGACATGCTTGTCCTGCAGGCGCCACCGTCGTCATTCGTCCCCGTCGTCGGCAAATTTTTCAACCAGGACCTAAAGGAATTTCGCGCGCGGTCCGAGGTCGCAAAGCTGTATTTCGCTGACTATTCGATCCTCGAGCTCGACGACGAGCCGCGCTCGCTAGCCAAGAGGAGGGCGAGCGGTGTGAGGGTAGATCTCTTCAAGAGAATTGAAATCTCGAGGAACCCAAGAAGCGGGAATGGCAAGAATCAGTTCCCTTGGAGGCAATGTGCGCGCTGCGGTAACGTCATGGAGGACCTCGCTCTGGTTAATCACAAGCCAGGATTCAGCTTCTTGCTCCGTCAACAAGGCAATTGCTCCTGCGGTGGTCGGATGGCTATCCTACCGTCGGAAACACATAATTAGACACCTACATAGCTAAGAGTTGGCGTATTGGGATTTTGACCACAGATCATATTTAACTCCCGTTGGTTGACCCCTTTTTTTTTTTTTAGCCAATCCAGCCTATGGCTTTATTTAGGACTAATAAACTTATTATCTTATTTTGGTATTGTGCGAATCCAACGGTGTGATACAGACGATAGAGACTGTCCCGTTAGACGTGGTTGGGAACTGTCGCGAATTCATCTGGTGATAGTTGAGATGAATGCAACACCATGAAATAGCTTAGTTTTACTTGGACCTTAGTTTACCCAAGTTGGAATTGAACATCGTGTTCTTCTTTTTATCTGTTATACTAGGTACGGTACAGTATTTCATACTTCACGATCCGCATCGTCAACGTCTTCTTGCGATCTAAATTGTCTAAGACCGATGTACTGCCAGTTAGATATATACGTCTCAAACGCCCGTTCGCCATGCTTGCCGTTAGAAGTAGCGTAGACTCCAAGGACGAGGCCTAGGCCAAGATTAGCTTCTCTAAACTTTTTTTTTTCTTTTTTTAAAAAAAAGATGTTGATATGCCATGGTATGTATATGCAGATGTGTAGTAAGTATTGGGGGCTAGTTAACGTACCCGAGTAATATGGCACCAGTTCGTCTCCTCGACAGTGGCCAAAGACCCGTATCTCTGCCTCCTTCCCTGCTGGCCCAGCCGAAAACGCAAAGTGTGTACTGTTGACGGCCTCGATCTGCAGAGTCAGTTTCTGTCCGGCCCATCCCCCCGGCAGCGGGTAGATCTCGCTGGGGGCGTTAGTAAGCCCACGATACGGCGTCTCAGAGTGCCCCCTGAAACGGATGTAGGGCTGGAGCGGGGGCGGGGCGCTGCTCGTATTATTCTCCTGTGAGGACTCGAGCAATACGATACCGAGGTCAAAGTGCTGTGCCTGGTCTTGAATAGCCGAGACCCCAACTTCCATCTCCTCCTTGGTCAGGGAAGATGCCCAGTCAACATCGACGCGGAACCGGAACAGCGAGTGCGCCATCCGCCGGCCGACGAAAGTCTGCCCGCGGCCCAGCGCGTAGTCCCCGTCGAACCCCGTGAGGTTAAGCACCGATGACTTTAGCGCCAACGTATGCCAGTGGCCAGGCGGCGAGACGGCGTAGTTCCGCGCGGTGGGCAGTCGCCAGTGAACGAAATGGATCGGCAATTTGCTGCCGGGTGGGAATATAACCGAGTCGTTAGCATCGCTGAGTTGGCCCTCGCCCTGCTCGGGAATTTCTTCAGCGGGTAGCGGCCAGCCTGAGACCTCGCCAGAGACAGGGGTGAAGACAGGCCATCCGTCCTCCTCCCATGTCACGGGCGTGAGCACCGTCTCGCGGCCCAGGGGGAGGTTTGCGAAATACGGCGCCTCGCCGTAGGAACCGCCGGCGCGCACTGCAAGGGCCACGGCCCACCACCTCCCGTTTGCGTCCTGAAACAAATCAGCATGTCCCACCGCTTGGAAGTAAGAGCTTGTGTCATTGGCTGCCGTGAGGAGCGGGTTGGCTGGCGCGGGCTCGAACGGTCCCTGCAGGTTGCGGGAGCGCGCCATGGTCACCATGTGGTTCTCGCGGGTTCCTCCTTCGGCTGCCAACAGATAGTACCAACCATCGCGCTTAAAGATGTGTGGACCCTCTGGTGATGAACCCCCCGTTCCATTCCATGGCATAATGATATTTCCGATTTCGCCGGTCTCGAGGTCGAGAGGGGCGTGCATTATGCCGGGGTAGTATGCTGCAGTGTGAGCGCCGGAGACGTACGTAGTACCATCATCGTCCCAAAATGGGCTCGGGTCGAACCCCGGAAAGGAGAAGTGTATCGGGTCGGACCAGGCCTCGGAACTATACGGATCCTCGGTGGTAACGAGGAAGTTGTCCCAGCGGGAATCATTGACGCGCGGTAGCTGCTGGTTAACTAATGTAGCCACGACGTAGAATATCCCCTCTCGAAAGCGCAGCGTCGGCGCATAAATACCACTGGTGGCTTTGGGGAGGAAAGCCATGCCCGGCAACTGGTCAGAGCGACTGAAGGCGTTGGACACATGCTTCCAGTGTACCAGATCCCTACTGGCATGGATAGGTAGGCCCGGGAAAGCAAGGAAGCTCGATGACGCGCAGAACCAGGTATCGTCGAGATCAGGCACAAAGATGCAGCTCGGATCCGGATGGAATCCGGTGATGATAGGATTCCGGAAGGTGGAGTTCTGTGCCGATATACCCAGTGGGGAGAGCAGGGCTAGGAAGCACGTAAGAAGCGCGAGATGCTGCATGTTGGCTGCGAACATGGGGCAGAAGTGCCAGCTTGAGCATTTTGCATGGATAACATCTCGTGAGGTTTCGAGCCCACCATCTTTATAGCAAGTATATAGACATGCCTATAGAAGACATGCCTAGTGTATAAAGAATAGACTCCCTTTAACCCCGCTCGGAAACCTATATCTTAGACTGAGAAGATGCTCGTGAGATCCGTGCTCGGGAGATCCATGCTCGGGAGAATATCACCGAGCTTCCCTTGTCTAGACTAAAGTGACGTTCGAATAGCAAATGTGCCATACCCTTGGATACTCCACCGTCTTTCCAAATCAGTCTAACCGGGGCATGTTTACATATGCGGCGGACTTGGCATAGCACAGCATTCTTTAGCATCATGCGAAGCTTATTACGACAGCCAAGACAGAAGAGCTTATGACACAGTTAAGGGTTGTTAAGTATAGAGATGTAACCGAACATCGAGATAACTAACATCCAGCCCACCACCTTTTTTAGTGCTACATACTGTGTGATAGACATGTTAAATGCAGTTCTTCGTCCAAGCGAGTTCAAAGTTCGGAGCTTTCTAAACTAGGATGCGTCTTGCACAAATGGCTCTTTTGGCCAGATCTTACACGGGCTACACGGGGCTCTATTCGATCCGGTCCTGGACCGAAGCCCAAAACAGGTGGTTGGCTCATCGTATCATCCAGTTAAGACAGGTAGTTATACAAGATATTCTCCAGCTTATGTATAAACTCTGGCTTGCCATTTATTATTTTAATATATTATTCACGGACTGTTGTAGAAATATAGTCTCTGAATTTAACTTACATAAAGCGCCGAATTATAATATTCAAGCTCCGTAGTGTATGACCGAAATGATAGGTAGCGATGTTTTCTTCCTGCAGCAATTAAGCTATTTATAAGCGTGTTAATATAATATAAACGCCCCAGCCAGCCACCCGCCCGCTCTGAATCAGCTCTAAGTAAAGAAATCAAAGACGAGATTGCGTAAATTGAGTTTAAAGGTCATTAGCTTTCAGCTACTATAAAGTTTAAAGTAGAACGCGGCTCGGAAATCGTCTTATTTAGTAATAGTCGAGAGAGAAAATTGGTCCTCTAAACCCTTGTAGGTTGGTTGCCTCGTTATTGTACGGATTATCTGATACATTCTTCGATGTGCGTATGTCTACCTACCATAGCGGAGGTGGGTGGGTTGACACAACTATTTCGTAAAATAATATTATTTTATCCAGTGATACTATTCTATAAAAACTGTATATTGTAATTAGCCTGGTATATTCTATTTTGATGAAATGATTTTATTTGGCGGAATGATTTCATATGGTGGAACGATTCTTCTTTTTACGTGACTTTTATGTGACTTTTACGTGATTTTTACGTGATTTTTACGTGAAGAATGGGGCTTGAATTTAAAAAAAAAAAAGATTAGAAAGATTGGTCCTCGAACCTACCACTTTTACGTTTGTGTAACCATAAACCCTGCATTTAAGGTTTAAAGTTTAAACGTTTGAGCTAATGGGACGAGGTAGCTAGTTTTATCGAATTAATGCAAAAACTTAATTGATTTTAAGCCTTATAACCTTAAATTTTAAAAGGGTAAAATTTTAATTTAGAAAAAAAAAATTAAAAATTTTTATTATTTTTTATTTTTCAAGTTAAAATTTTTAAAAATATTTGATCGGGCTATTGGGATTTTAGTAATGATTGTATAATGAACTGGTGTGGTGCCACATCGTTAAGAGCAAGGGTATTATTATGTAATCTTAGGTTATAAGTCATATAAAGGCTTAATATTTATTATATTCTTTTGATTAAATAGCCACAATTATTATTATTTAATTATATATTTAATATAAATATATTTATTATTTTTCCATATTTATAATATATAGCTTTATTTTACGTATTTATTTTATATATTTTATTCGATTAATAAATCTTTACAATTCTTTTAAAATATAATACTATCATCAACTATTTAAAGTTTTTCACAAAGATTTAAACGTTAAAATAATATGCTATATTTTATAAGAGATACCAATTCCTGTTCAATAAGATAAAACGGTTACATGGTTATGAAATAGTGAACAGGAGTTGGTATCTCCTGCAGAATATGGCATATCACTTCAACGTTTAAATCCTTATAAAAGGCCTTAAACAGCTGATGATAGCACTATATTCTAGAAGAACTATAAGGATCTACTGATCGGATAGGATATATAAGATAAATATGTAAGATAAGGCCATAAGCTATAAATATGGGAAAATAACGAATGTGTCTATATTGAATGTATAACTGAATGGTAATGATTGTAGCTATCTGATCAGAAGAATACAACAAATATTAGACCTTTATATGGCCTGTGACCTAAGATTACATAATAATACCCTTGCTCTTGGCGATGTGGCACCACACCAGTTCAATGGTTTTTGTAAAGTAAAAAATTAAAAAATGAGATAAGACCTACTTATCTCTAAATCTAACCAATTAAACCACTTAAAACATAAAAACGTTGCGCCTTACAAAACCATTCCACAGGTAGAACTGTTCCTTGAAACCCCCCACCTCCGCATAGGTATGCATGTAATTTCGGAGAGTAGCTGGCATGGGACATGTCTTTCCTGCAAGTTGCTTAATAATTTGGTGTCAGATTAGTTAGCCATGTCAGGTAACTTGAAAATCTTTAATCTTGTTGCATATAATAAGC